GAGAATTGTAATGGATCTGTCAGGTCATTGGGGCTGTGTTCGTTATTGTCATCTTTTTCGTCTAATGGCTCCGAAATTTTGATAGGCACATGACTGCATCAGACAGTTTCAATTCACAAATCACGTGCTTGTCAAAATTTCGGAGCAAATCGACGAAAAAGATGACAAAACCGCAAGACAAAAACGAACACAAACCGAATTTTCGCGACGAACTACTTCCATGATTTCATCAACACAAACGCTTTTGCGAGAAACTCATGACGTCATATTGAAGTAGTTCGACGGAAGTATGGACGCAGCTTCTAGCCAGCGTTCAAACTCATGACGTCACAGATGAACTATGGTTCGTCCTTGATGAACTACAGTCTATTTTTTCCCAAGATAGATTTTGACATTGAAAACTTTGAAACAAAAACAATAACGCTTATTGGCTCTGTTTGGTCGCAAAATGAGGTGTCCCTGCAGGTTGACATCAGCTTTACAATGCATGTCGTGCAAATGGCATTTTGCGACTAATAAGCAGCATTAGCGGCATCGTTTATGTTTCAAAGTTGACAATGTCAAAATCTTTGGGAAAAAATAAGCTGTACATTCGTCGCGAAAATTCGGTTACAGCTTGGATCGGATCTGTCGATGTGAGTGTGACTAGTGACAGTGACGTGACTGTCAATTGTCATTATAGTGAATTTAATATATGAAATATATTATATCTTTCCCCTATTAATCATGTAATAAAAAGAAATGAGTATAAAGTCAAAAAATCATTTCTTATCACTTTTTCTCAAGTGGCACTATTTGGCACTATTTGAGTGTCGCTGCAGGCACACACGAAACTTCCCCAGGAACAACCCTGGTTGACAGGGTTGACTCACATATCTACTGTCAGTGTCAAAGTCCCTTCTTATTCTTCGGTATTTTCTAACGCATTTTCCTCCTTAACCCATCGAAACCCCCCCCACCCTACATATATGAGTTTTTCTTAGAATAACCAACCGGATAATTCTATCGGTGTTTGCTGACTGGGAAAATAAGTACCGAAAATATTCACTGCCTCCTTAGACTAATACTGATGATTATTCTAATCATATAGTACGTTAAACACTTAGGGACTAAAGTGGTACTTTTAATCCCGAGACAAAAAGTTTATAACCCGACCGAAGGTAGGGGCTATAATTTGTAGAGGGAATAAAAACACTTTAGTCCTGAAGTGTATACACTATTTTATGCACTTTACTTTATATTTCCCGGGGATTAAATGAAACAGGAAATAAAAGGGTACTTTTAATCCCCGGGAAATAAAGTAAAAATTAAATCCCCGGGAAATAAAGTAAAAACTTGATCCCCGGGAAATAAAGTGAAATTTAATCCCGGGGATTAAAAGACCCCCTTTACTCCCTTAAAACAGGGATTAAAAGAGTACTTTTAATCCCTGAAGTGCATAAATACAAAAATATGGTGTGTTTTATTTTTCATAACCTTGAGAAGTAGGTAGTTGATAAATTCGTCAATCTTGAAGAGAATTTCATTAGAATTTCATTAATCTGTCAAAACTGGTATTCCAACTATGATCTGGCATGTTTTAATTGTTGATTGCAACCAATCAGATTGCGATTACGTGATAATTTGCACTAGTGCAGGATTATCAGATAATTGCACACTAACGGGTGGCATTTGACATTTTTGGCGACCAGTGACATTTTTATACTTACGAGGGTATACTAAAAATTCAAATTTTTGATTCATGGAATTCTCTCACACAATTATAAAATACAACTCGAGCAATGGAAATATATCTATAATTTTTGACAAATTTGCACTCATGCATTTTCAACTGAGAAAGGCCCTCGTGCTCTTTTTCAACTGAAAATGCATTCGGGAAAATTTGCCAAAAATTTTCGATAATTTCCATTGCTTTCGTTATTACTATCGAATAAAAGATTTCCTGTAGGTAGCTCCTTTGAAACATTATTGAAAAAGAAACGATTATTTGAAGGACGAGACGAGATTAGTCGAGAATCTCGTCTCGTCTCGCTTCTTTTAGTCTCGTCTCGTCTCGTCTCGAAGTCGAGATTAAATGGCCTCGAGACGAGACGAGATTAGGGCGAGACGAGACGAGACGAGACGAGACGAGACGAGACGAGACGAGACGAGACGAGAGTGTCATTTTAGTCTCGTCTCGCGGCATCACTACTCTGACTGGTTTGTGATTTCTGTGAGAACATGCCTTTCAGAGGTTCCTGCATCCATATGTTTGGGTATAACGGCACGATTATGAAGCTATAGTTGAATTCAGATAGAGTTTGAATTTTGACCGTTATGTTCACCAGTTGAAAGTAATTAAAATCCCCAAATCTGTCCCTCTTTCTGTCAATTATTAAATAATGATACACGACATTTCGATTTGACATATAAAAATATCCAGATTCGGATCTTTGAATTTTGAATTTCGAATTTTTGTGTGAAATCGTTTCAGTTGTTTGCCATTTTATATACATATGTTCTATTACAGATGTTCATTATTACTATGCAGGATTTTAATAACTTAACTTCCTTTAAAGAAATTAATTGAAAATACATTTTTATTATGAAATGTATATCACTTTTTTAAATACGACCCTGTCGTTTATCCCAGCTGACGGAATCGGAGCGCTAACGCATGCTGACAACCTAAAGAAAAAGTTACTAGAAATGTCAACGCGAACTGTCAACTTCACTTTCTATCGTGATTTCAACTATAGTACAACAATCAACCATAAAATTACTGACCATCGAAACTTCTAGATACAAATTCTTTCAATAAGACAATTTGAATCGGATTTTTTCTAACACTAATCAGGCCTTGCTATAGTTTGTCCTGAAAACTATCAGTAGGTCCTAGGAAATATGCGAAGTTCCTAAGAACGCTAGGAAGTGCAACCTAGGCCAAACTAGAATGGCCTGAAATCGGATATTTCCTGTAACATATACACTTTGTTTTGCAGACGATCAAATAGTTCTGAAGATTTGGAATACATGACCCGAAACCTAATCTAAGAATATGGAAAATGTGGGCTAGAAGTTAATATATAAAGAAAACGGAGTATATGGTGTATCAGGGGAGCGCAACAAAATCTAATTCTGGACGAACAACATCAGACAACGAAACAATCAAGGAAGGCAAGCAATTAGACAATTGAACAGCATACTGTGGGATAAAGCAATATCCAAAGAAAACAAGCACATAATCTATAACAGCATAGTCAAGAGTATTGTTACCTATAGGAGCGAGGTATAGCCATTAAAGGAGAAAACTCTAAAAGCACCAGGAGTCTCCGAGATGGATTTTTGGAGACGTGCCGCCGTGAAAATCAAGATTAGACATGGTTAGGAATGGGAGAATACGCGAAATTATGGAGGTAAAACACACAATAACGGAAGACATTAGAATTAATTAACTAAAATGGTATAGAAACAGACTGCCAGAAAGTACTGAACTGGACACCGCAAGATAGGCGGAAGAGGGGAAGACCCAGACTGAGCTGGCGCGAGGGAATAGATAAGATATCAGGGAAAGAGAAGTGAATGAAAACCTCTGGGCGAGACCAATGGAGACTGAAAATCAGAAAACGGCGAAGAACGTCATAAACTGTTAATATACATACATACATACCAGGGAAAATATAACCTAACCATCCAATTATTATTGGTTCTGGAAACTCTTCTTTCACTTATGCGCTAGAAAACGCTAGCTTTATTGAAGATACCTAACTATAAAATTGATCAACGTTGATGTTATCATTTAAATTATTCCATTATACCAATGACTGTTAGGTATGTAAGGCATGTCATTGGATGGTATGAATAAAAACGAAGTACTTGCTACTACCACAAGTATTAGTATGTTCTACGTAGTATTTACTTCAAAACGAAGTAGATACTACATTTCAGTAGTTTCGAAATGTAGTATCTACTTCGTTTTGAAGTAAATACTACGTAGAACATACTAATACTTCTAGCAGTAGCAAGTACTTCGTTTTTATTCATACCACCCATTATCGTTCAATTAACTCAAAGGGACTTAGTGAATTACAAAACTCTCTCCGCACTCATTAGAGAAATTTCGAGGGTAAAAGCAATTAAATAGTCCCTTTGAACAAGAACAATTTTGTTTGTTTTCCATACCAAATCTAAATTTCTCTTTACTCAGTGATGAAGTATCAGAAATCTGGAAAAAGCAAATAAGCTATTTTCTATTCAAAGTCAATCGGTTTAGAGGAAAATATTGTCGACGAAATGATTTATAGGCCATCCAGCAAAACATGGAATATTAGAACGTATAACTTGGAATTTATGCAATATGCCGGAGGGTGACGAGCTGAAAAAAGTTCTAGTGCAAAATTTATGGAGGTGATTTTCCATTTTGTTAGCGGTTTTCATGTTGCATAAAAGGGATTTATGTGTTTGAAACTGAATAAATTCAACAAAGAAGATAAAAATAGTAATTTCCCATAGCCATGGTTAAAGCGCGTAAAAAACGTCAACGATCCTATGTTTTGAACAAGAGATATATCTTTTTTTTTTTGAAATAGAGTTGCAAACGTTTTCAAATTTTCATAAAATTTCAAGGACTTGTGTCGAAATTAAATCAAAATAACATTGTTGAAAAAACTCAAATTAATAGCTTTTTAGACAAGATTAGAAAAGTCAGCCTAACGCCTGAAGACTCTAATAGGTTTTCATAAAAGCCGTAGAATTTGATCTTATATAGGTACCATTGAACGAATAATGGAAAAATGAACCCCAAAACAAATCTGGAAGAACTTTTTAATAGAGCGCTCTATTGGATCAATAAATGGAGGGAATGAAACCCGAAAAGGGTATCAGATTCCCATTATCCAAACTCTATTTGAAGCAATAACATATTTCGCAAAATAATAGTAACCCACACACGTTTTACCATTATTATACTAGCAACGTTTATGGAGACTCTTTTATCCTTAAATGGGGATGAAAGAACAGACGACGGAGAAAACATTTATTCAAAGCTAAAAATAAAAATAAATACATTTTCACAATTTATATATACGTAGTTTCACTCCATTTAATGGAGAAGTATTTATCACTTGACTATCAAAAATTACTGGCCTTTCTGTTTCATTACAAGGTTCAAATTTGAATTTTCTCAACACCTCTACCAGGGCTATTTTAATGACTACTGGTGCAAATCTTTCGCCTAAAAATAAACATATTTGACTCACTTTATGCAACTTTTTATTTGATCGATATTTACCCAAACATCTTCTCTGACCACATCCGAAGGGAAGATATACTCCAGCATTTTCTAATTCTTTAGTTCCATTTTTAAATCTTTCGGGATCAAATCTGAATGGATCAGGATAGAATTTTGGATCAGTGTGCATGGCATTAATAGAGATCATAATGGGGGTTCCCTTTTCAATTCTCAAACCAGTTGCTTCTATGACGTAGTCTCTGTTGCAATTTCTGTTCACGAAATCACCCAGAGGATAAATCCTCAGGACTTCTAAAAATCATATTGCGATGTTTAAGTTAGATAATGCAGTCTATATTAGAGAGACTTTGAGGCCCTCATTTTATTTTTTCGTTATGGCTATTCCTATTATGTATAGTATGTACAATATTAAAATGACTTGGAGGTTACTTCTTTGGTTACAACGTAAATGTGTTACAAATATTATAAAACGAAATTTTACTAGCATATTCTAATATTGTAAAAATAATAAATATTTTCAAATAGGTAGTGAATATTTGTGCGTTTAATGGCCTTTGCACCGACCATTTTGAGGAGATTTAACGATAGTCAACGCTTAAGACTTTGCTTAAAGTGACAAGATTTATCGATAATCAACCCTTAAAGTGATATTTTTACGTAAAAATTTCACTAAAAGCGTTTATTATAGTAAACCCTTCCTTAAAATGGTCAGAGCAAAGGGCCATAAATGACCATTTTTCTTTTTGGACGCGATTCAACTTCCAGAATTTGGCTGGTTTTGTTTCACCTGTCGGTTTTTCTGTTACTTCTCATTGTTAATGCTATTTTAATTAAAAATCTCCATTACAACAAAAATTATCGTCTCGGCCTCTATAAATTACCTACCTGCAACTACCATATTTAAATATTTCATTTCCATAATTCTGTCATATATATCGAAATTTTCGTCCCGAATATGTTCAAAAATTTCTTCTCTGAGTTTTTCTTGGCATTCTTGGTTAAGGCTTAGCTCATACAGACTGAGAGCAAAAAATGAAGATGTTGGTACAAAAGCTGCAATAGCTAATGTTGATGATTGAGCTACTAACCAATTTTCGTCTAAAAATAAAATAAAAAATATAATGGCAATTTATGTTATAAGTACATAAAGTAGAGCTTTATGTGTCGAACTTGCGAAGGAGGCTCTTAGCTCTAGAGGTGACGAGACCAATAGAGCTCAGTCCATGTACGCATATCATACAAGATTTTATGTCCGATTGCTCTCGAATAGCTTTGAAAAAGAATTTGATTTTCTATTTATTTTCCTAATGTATAGGTATAATAGACTTGACTAATCAAGACCGCGTCACAGTTGTACGTTATTGTACTGGAACAATGAAGTACCACTTAATCTCTGCTAAACTGTATAATAACAAGTACCTACTTTATAGAAGAATCGAACATACATTTATTTTAACATAAGCACTGATAAAAAAAGTGTACCATCGATTATAGGTAACTTACCAAAATATTCTTTTGTTTTCTGATTCATATTATTATCAAGATTTGCGAGTGTATCGATCACTCTAGTTCCTCTAGTGTGTCTAGTATCTTTATAGCTTTCTATAACATCTTTAACAATTGTTTTGATAAAATCGTCATGCAAGAGAGAACATTTCAAAACGCCAACAAGTTTTGGTACAAACGCATAAAGGAAAAATGCTACTCCCTGGTACCATCCTTTGCCAAACATATTCTTAATAGCTTCCTTTATTACATTATCATTTGTATTGTATTCACATTGGCTATCGATTCCAAGAAATATATGAGGCAGCACATTGGTCATAAGATTTTCGGCAGTTTCTTGTACATTGATAACATGATTGTTATATCGTTTTAAAAATATATTCATTTTTTCACAATGGGATAGAATCATCGGAACCATAGCTTTAAATTTTGCTGGCGAAAATAGAGTGCTAAGCTTTTGTCTGGAATCTCTCCATCCAGGATTTTTAGCAATGAAAAGTGATTTCGAAACTACCGGATCCACTTTTTCGTCACAGAAAAAGCTTCTATCTTGAAAGTATTGATGATTTTTACCTATACCTTTTATTATATTTGGACATCTAATGAAAAGATATGGCTTGCCCAATATATAAAATCCAAAATATGGATCCTCTGGGTGTGATTGATATAGTTCAATTAAAAATTTCCCAAAATGTAGTTTTCCAGAGAAAACGCTGTAAATATTGTTGGCAAGAAAGAAATTGCTTTCTATAGGTACCTTACGTTTTTCCCAATATTTGTAGTATTTTTGTATGTATAACAGGATCGCTAAGGTGCAGGCTGTTAGGGTTAAATATAGAAACACCCAAATAGCTAAGATCATCTGAAACAAAAAAAAGAAATTCAATATCGTGCATTATCCTGTATAAATTATTGATATAAATATACAGTATACCCAAACATTTTGAAAATAGGGATGAGTAGAAACCTCGACATTAATTAGTGGATGTTTGTTTTCTAGATTATAGAAATTTGTAATAGCCTTCAGCGATACCTACATACAATAAAAAGTTTGCAGGAGAGATGGAAGGCGTCAAAGTTGTCTATATCCAGTAAATTATCTGCGTCTACGGATATCAAGCAATGAAAAAAGACATGAGGAAGAAAGAAGAATGGAAAGGAAAAAGTATGCAACTACATATACTGGAGGAAAACTGAGAGCAGAAATGGCAAAGACACGAGAATATGTCAAATACGCTTTCGACCAAACCGTGCAGTGAATGACAGATTTTTTATTAATGGTTTACTAAAGACAAATGTGAGTTCATTTTTTAACGGGTGAAAAAATGAGGGAAAGTCGTTAATCTCACAATCCTTTATTTATTGTTAAGCTGCTAGTTTCGGAACCTATACATTACATCCCGTCATGAGGCTTCACAAGAGCTAAAATATAAGAAATTGTTTGCTTATTACAAACACTAAGGAGAATCATAAAAAAAATCCCACAAAGTGGAAAGTCAAATAACTTACGATTCAAATTAAAAGTCATTTGCTAGAAGCCAGAGTCATGAATTGACCACCTGTCTCGTAATAGTCGTAATACCTGAATCTGCGCGCGCAGCCTGTTACAGCCTGTGGCAAGCAGGTGTGACAGTGAAGTTTGTTACGGGCTTGCGTCATATTTCTTTATTTCTATTCAGGGGCGAGTTCAGAAGTGATTGTTCCTTCTCTCTTTGTAACGTGTAATTCGACAAAGAACAAACTAATACTTTACGTATTACTTGAACTCGCCGCAGTGTCGTTTTATTATATTAGGCTTTATTGTTATAGTGTTCGATTTGTATTGTCTGCATTTGTTCTGCAACAAAACAATCTGGCTAAACTGCAGCCACGAGTTGCGCGCGCATGTCATCTTTTATTAGTTTCTAACTTGTAGGTATTTATTAGAATTAAGCTCTTTTTTTCTATTTATGCGAGACAGGTCAATGTTATACAATTTCAAAATCACACCACAAAAACTCAAATGACAAAGGCGATACAACAATTTAATATGGATTCGATGGCTAATGTGGAATTTGTGGAAATTATTTAATTATTCTGTACACATTTTTTCCAAAAAACACAAAGCTGGTGAACTCTCCTCTAACATATTAGGTACTAACCATAAAGGAATATAATTCCCAAAGAAGGTCACCGCTACATCTATACATAAACAAACCAAAAACGAAAAAATATTAGACACATATGAATGTTCAATGCAAGGAAAACTAAAATACCAGTGACCTCCTGTGGAGAGAAGCTAAAAATACATATTGTAATAATTAAAATGACAGTACCAGAAGAAAATAAAGCATAGCTGAAAAAACTGGAGTCTAATCCAGGCTTATTTGTGAATTCAACGTATAGTCTGTTCATAAAGTCTATAGACTTTTTCGAGTGTATGATCGGAGATTTTGGACGCTGATTGTGATAGTAAGAAAACCCAAGTTTGAAGTTTCTCTTAGCTCACGTTCGGCGATTCTATTTCGCCATCCCCAGGGCTCTAGGATTTAGTTTTTCTTGTTACTATGCTCTCCTTTCCCAATGAAGCCGTAATCTATGGACCTTTCTATTTGTTATTTTCATTTGAAACTCCTATTAGTCACTCAACTTTTTTGATTCCTATTTGTAGTACCTCCTATATCTATATTGTTTCTTGTAATAATTTGAATTTAAACTCGATGGTCACTTGTCGATTAGGCTACTAGCCACCAGTAATGAGCTATGTTTCTAAATTGAATTTTCTTCATTATGATTATAACCCTGAAGCATAGACCCCCTGAAGTCTATTTTGTTTGGGCAAGTTGTGTTTCACCTAGTGATCCGGTCTTCTTTTCTATTGGGGAAAAAAGTGCCAAATTAAAATAATGAAATGTAACTTTTCTATTGAATCACACATAGAACGGAAAGTTTCCAGATTATCCCTCTAGCAATTTTTGGAAATAAAAGTGGAAAAATACAAAAACAATTTTTCCTTTGAATGATTTTGGGTTCCCCAGCGTAGCATTCGACTACTTTTCTTCATCAAAAATAGTTCTATCGTCCTTAGAAACTGCCTTCTCCAGCAAATAATTTCGTCTTTTTCAATTGAAAGTGACTTTCCGTTATCTTTAACAGAATCGGGTTCTTTTAATATTCTCGATAGAAGCTTGTTTCTACTATTTCTTGTAAATCATTATCGTTTCTGATCAAAGTATGCATTTTAGGAATCTATTTTTTGAAATGAAATGGAATGAATGAACTTTTCTTCTATATTTTTCTCATATTATTCAACAGCAAAAGCTGATATTCTTGTAGAAGTTAAGTTGCCAAATTTGATTAACATAAAGGAACATATTTCAGCAATTTTATAATTTAGTTAATTTTAGGAGGATGTCAGTTTATGATCAAGAAAGACAGTCGAACTAATTTAAAGTAGGTATTGTGGCAACGCTAGTTTTGTCGTGATTTTTGTGTTATTGTTCATACAATTTATTGAAGTTTAAAACGCAGTCTCTCTAATCTACAAACCCGCAATGTTACGGTTCCTAAGACATTCAAAAATTACTTATTTGAAGAACATGAGACCTATAAAATATCTGCCCTGCATTTTCAAACATATAATACGATATCATCATCATAGTCGCAATGTCTTGCCAGACATGTTGTGAATGTTCTAAGTCAGAACTGGAGGATTGCCGACACGCAGGTAGTCAACTGCTTCGAAAATCGCATTTCAACATCTTTCGCGATTATTTTTCAATTAGGTGGCTCTAGTGACACTAACATCTAGCAATTATTGTTATGTCGCATCCACCCAGTATGTAGGAAAACGGTTTTCGATATTATCATTTCTGCATGCATATAGCCGAACAACGTCATACGCGTTGAAACGATGGAGGATAGTCATTTTGTATTTCCGAGTTCGCTTAATATGGAAACGTTAGTTCGGTGAGCTGTATAAGGAACTCTTCCCCTTTTTTAATAACTAGTCTATAGTTTCTAAGCTTTGTCAATAAGAAACATTTTGCTTTGTGAAATTTTTTCTTGGACAATAAAGCACATTCTCATTAATTCATTCATATTCTTATAAGTCTTCTCCAAGTCCACATTTCAAATGCGTCTATATGCGGTGGCGATCTGCCTTTCTAAAAGTCCAAGTCTCAGAGCCACACGGAAATATGTGGTATGATTAAGTAACTAAAATATGGCGTGACAATCTTATCACGAAAGCCACCAAAATGTCGCTTTTCCATATTTTTGTATGGTATGATAAGACTAACTAAAAGATGGCGCGACAGTCTAATCAGTGCTGCTTGTGCTTTCTGAATGCGCCGACGGATTTCAATCTCGCAGCCACCTGAATTGTCAATCAAAGAACCGACGTATACAAAACTTTAAACTTAGACAACGGCCTACTGATGTTATTTCAGGATAATTGGCATGTTCCCTATCAACGAGCATAACCTTGGGTCTATGGGACTATGTTGTTCTAAGATTCTTAAGTAGGGTCAACAATCCACCCTGAGAAGAAGCAATAAGAGTAGTATGGTCAGCAAACCCTAAATTAGATATCTTGATTCCACCAAGAATTACACCAACGTGCCAACCGTCCAGTGCCTGTCTCATCACTGATTCGGAATAGATGTTAAGCAACATCGGCGGTAACACACATCCCTAGCGAACTCCTTTCCTTGTTGTAGTCTGGTCAAAAATTCACCGTATGAGAAATATCTGGTGATGAGGAGCTGCGATGGAGAGAAGAATTTAGGCCACTTTACGTAATCTACAAAGCAGATATAGACTGGAAAGTAATGCTGTCTGGCCTCAAGTTCAAAATCTGTTCGCGCGTACCCCGTCCCTTTACGAAACCTGCCTGCTCTGGAGCTATTTGCCAGTCCACAACACCTTCCAAACGAGACTACAGAATATGCAGCATTACCTTGCTTGAATGAGAGTAGACGATAACTGCCTCGGTTTACCGGAGATCTCTTTTTATAAAGTGAAATAAAGAATAAAATAATTCGATATAGGCAATGGACAATGCAATCATTTATATTCAATTAGTTATATTACCAAAAATTACTTGCTATCTACGTTGAAATCTCGCTTTTTTTATGCCACCCCAATATACTCTCTATAAAAAGCTCAAATAAAGCATGTTTTTGGCCTGCGAGGTATAATTTTTTGTCGGCTTAAAACGATTCCGTCACCATTTATCTCCCGTTCTGATCCCTTTTACTACATTTTTTATTGGCTCGCTTTCCCGTCACTTTTTCTCCGGACTCCGAGATAAAGCATTTTCTTTGTACTTTCGACGCCTTTCCGAAACACAAGAATTGGTTTCATTTAACTTGGAAAATGCAAGTTGTTCGGATATTATATCCAAGGGGGTTAATATCGTTTTCTTGGCAAAGCGAAGTGAAACTAGTATATACTTTTTCATTTTGTTTTTTAAATTTCCTGATTATAGTAGAAACTTATGAGTCTAGGTCTGTGAATGCTAGATGTATAATAGAATAGTATAAAAAATGTCGACTTTTCACAAAGCCAAGCCAATTTTCAGCCATATTTTTCACAGCCGAACATAATCAAGAACTTAGTGTTTCAGCGGCAAAATTTGGAAAAATAAAATTTCTTTTTTATGTGGCGGAAACTTACTAATTGACAAAAAAAAACAACATTGAGGGCTATACAGAGAATAATGTATAAAGTTTATTCGGAACACAATTGCGATAATATTGCTACTTCAAAGAATTTGATAAGGAAATTGATCCATTTATACTGACGTTATAGTTAGATCGGCTTGTTTGGCAAAACGTTAACCAAGAACAGAATATTTCTGGGGAGAGAAAAGACAGGTGA